AAATGTAATAGAAAGATAAAATCCGAGTCACATTAATATGTAAAATTCAAATAGAAACAACTTTTTCAAGTAAACTTTTTTGATATTCGAACAAATAAGCCTACTTTTAGCGATTAATTTGAAAAAATGTCACTTTTGACATGTAGCGAAAATCACGTGACCCCGATTGAGTAGGTCATTTTTCATCTTTTTTGAAGCGAAACTTGACGTCCAAATCGAATTCCAAAATAAGTCATTAATAAAAGTTTTTCCCATATGATGCCGACTCTATATATGAATGACACTGTATATACACCGTGTCCCAGCTAAAATGTCCCCCCCTGTAAAAAATCAACCGCGCGATCGAATGACTTGAAATTTGGTCAACCAGTATATTTGATGGTGCTCACTCGAAACATCTCGAAATATGCTATTGAATAAATCGTAGGTATACAGGGTCACATCGAAGTGCACCTGAACTTTCCTATTTGAATAGGGGCATCCCATTATTTCATTTTATATTCAAGTAGAGTTCATTATAACAAATTCAACAATGCCAGGTTTGATGGGATTTTTTCAAACGACTACGAAGATATGGCAAAAAATAAAACGATTCAATAAAAAATGTATATGATTATTTATATAAGATGGGAGTCCTGCACATAACTACAGACTCGTGAAGGATTATCTTCGCCATCGGTTTGGAGAGAATCTAATAACCACCAATTGTCTCGATGGTGATATAGCAACTGGCCAGCTCGGTCGCCAGACCTCACCCCACCTGATTTTTATTTGTGGGGCTACTTGAAAGAACAGGTTTATGAGTCTCCAATTGTGAATATGGAAGAAATGGAAGAGAAAATCACAAATTGATGCGCACAAATTGATCGCAACGTGATACATAGGGTCACAATGAACATTATCAAAATAGTTAGCAAATGTTTGCAGCAGAATGGACGACATATTGAGCACTTGAGGTATTAATTATCCTATTTTCATTCGATTTCAATCGTGTTATATCAATAAAATCTAATCATATAAACTTTTTATTGAATCGTTTCATTTTTTTCCATATTTTCGTAGTCATATGAAGAAATCCCACCAAACCCGGCTTTGTTGATTTTGTAATAATGTACTCAATTCGTATATCGAATAATTTACTGGGTGTCCCTATATTCAAATAGGAAAAGCTGCTCTTCGGAGTGACCCTGTATACCTACGATATTCAATAGCATATTTCGACTGAGCATCATCAAATATACCAGGTAACCAAATTTCAAGTCATTCGATCGCGCGGTTGATTTTTTACAGGGGGGGGGCATTTTAGTTGGGAAACGGTGTATATATACAGGGTGACCCACGGTCGATGGTACCTTAGACGTATACGGAAAACGGTACATTGGATTATCCTGAAAATTTGGTTACTCCAATAAGCGTTCGTGATCTAACGATTCAAAATATTTTCAGCGAAGCAGCGTTGCCACTTTTACCAAAAAGTAGCATCATCTTTGTTATTTCAAATGGAACACCCTGTATTTTATTGCGTTTTTAGATTCTTCCCGAAGAGCTGATTTCATCAATGTATCACACTTGGGATCTAGCAGGAATTATTACAGAGATATAGGGTGTTCAAAATCGAGATTTTTCAACTTTAGGATTTTTTTGTGTCGAAACTATTCATCATTGGTCAAAACGGCTTACATGTCCCTATATTAACTTTTGATTAACTATCTACCGACATTTAATTGGAAAAAATACAGGATGGTCCAAGATTCAGAATTTTGATCACCTTGTATCTGTTCCAATTAAATGTCAGTAGATAGTGGATCAAAAAATAAGATAGGGACATGTAAACCGTTTTGATCGATAATGAATAGTTTCGACACAAAAAATTCCTGAAATTGAAAAATCTCGATTTTGAACACCTTATATCTCTGTAATAATTCCTGCTTGACCCCAAGTGTGATACATTGATGAAATCAGCTCTTCGAGAAGAATCTAAAAACGCAATGAAATACAGGGTGTTCCATTTGAAATAACAAAGATATGATGCTACTTTTTGGTAAAAGTGGCAACTCTGCATCGCTGAAAATATTTTGAATCGTTAGATCACAAACGCTTATCAGAGTAACCAAATTTTCAGGATAATCCAATGTACCGTTTTCCGTATACGTCTAAGGTACCATCGACCGTGAGCCACCCTGTATACTGTATACATGTAAAGAAATACATTGAGAATTCGCATTTTCTATGTGATGAAAATATCAATTCTTTCTCGATTTATTTAACAGAAAACAACTACTTTCCTGGACGACGAACATTGAATTATATCTTTTGAACACACATGACAAGAATTTGAAAAGAAATCTTCTGTAGTTGAGAATTTGTATTCTCCTCCAGATATGTAGGTATGAACATGCACATAATATCATTCCGATTATTTAACAGAAAACGACTACTTTCCTGGCTATTTGCCACGTCGAACATCGAATGCTGTAGAACATCCAAAAGGAGAGCACGAAAAATAAAAATCCTCTGGAATTGAGGATTAAAATTCTCTCTCAAATCGTATAAATGATATGATGTATCATGATATAAAAATATAACTTACCAATATGTTCAGTATTGAAATGAAAATTGAAATGTATAGGATAAGTATACCTCTATAAACTCTGATCTTGATCTTGAATTTTTTCTCATTTGCACCCCCCATTTGGTAGGGGGTAATGAGGAAAACATTTTTTATCACTTTTGACAGTTAGATGGAACTTTTTTCTACTACTGCTATGAAAAGTAGCACATTTCTCATAGCTTCCTCAGTTTCAAAACCATGTATTGCCCATACCGTGAGAAATATGTTTTCTCACGGCACTTTGCCAACACCACATACATTTCATACTCATTATTCTTCATCTTGTCTTTGATGGTATCTTCTTCACTCTTCAGTTTCCAATCTTTTTCTTCATCGGCCTCCCTTGGTCACTTCTCCTCTTTTCCTTCTCCCCTAAAGCCCAACCTCACCATAGTGCGGGGAGGACAAGCCGCGGCTGCTCGGCAGATTGAGCATTTTGGGAACATCTTTGCTGTCGATCATCACTCAGATGGGACAGTTTTGTGGACATCTGAGTGCGAGGATGGGGCAATTTGTGAACATCTGCTTATGTGGCCGCGGATTGATAACGAGGCTCTGGCAATCCCCTCAGGGGCTCACAACTTGTGAGTACGGGAATGGTGAACCCGAGGTACCCTAGCCGGATATTCACCATACCTCAACTTGTCTTGGGTGATATCCTCTTCTCTCATTCGTTTTCAATCTTTCTATCGGCCTTTCTTGGCCAACTGCTCTTTTCATCTTTCCCTTCAAGCCCAACCTCACCATCAAGTGGTGTGGGGAAGGCAGGCCGCGGCCGCTTGACAGATGAAGCATTTTGGGACCATCTTTGCTATCTTCTGCCAGATGGGACAATTTGTGGACATCTGTGGCAGAGATGGGGCGATTTGCTGATGTCTGTCTAGGTGGTCGAGGACTGGTCAACGAGGCTCTGGCAACCTAATCCAAGCTGTGGGAACCCGTGGCGATGGATGGAAGGCACCGAGGAATGGTGTCGCTAACGGGGCCTCTGGGAAACAGGGCGACATCCCAGAGTAAACAGCCTTAGTCCTGTGCAGGGGGCACCACAGGGCTGGACCAACCCCTTCCCCCGTCACTCGTAGGAGAAGGAAAGCTTTTGGCCTTCTTCGTAGACGAGAACAGGGATCGGAATAGCAATCTTCAGGGACCTGAACGAGAAGGGTCTTTCATATTGAAGTGGCCCTTTAGGCACCATGAGTCGTATGTGGTAAAATTGATAACGGCATGTAGGTGAGATACAATAGGCCACTAGGCCTAAGTGTCGTCGGAGACATCGGTTAGACGTCCTACAACGGGGTGGAGTGTTTAGTGGGTATACCATGGAGGCGAAAAAAAAACATACATTTCCATGGAGAATCAACAAAAATTGACCAAAACTTGGCTGCTTTTGATAGAAATCTCATTGTCCATCAAATATTGTTCCAACTATTCATGATAAATATTATGATGTATAAACCGAGATGTGACGATTTTGATAAATACACCACCAGAGACAGAGATAATGGAAAAAGTTGGATTTGTTTCCGGAAATTTCAAGAAAAAAGTATGAATTGGCATATTGGTACAAACAATTTATGGAATCAAAAAAAATACAGAAATAAAATCTTCTTCGGAAAGTGCAACTTTTTGAAATACTTTGAGGAACTAGGAAAGGCGTCTACTCTTTTGTCACAATATTCAATGTGGCATAGTATCACATTATAAAATGAATAGGTATACCAATAATAAGTTACAATACTCGGATTCTTTGAATAAGTGCAGTTGTAGAAAAAGTATAGTGTGCAACATGTGAGGAAAAGCTTTTTTCTCACTTGTGCGTTTGCATCACTCGCCCTTCAAGCTCGTGCCACAAACTTTCGCACTCGTGAGAAAAGTTGAACTTTTCCCACTTGTTGCACAATATACTATTTTTCGGTTTTCAAAATAGGGGTTGGGGGTAATATGATTCCCCCCATTTTATTTTTTTGGAATATGTCAATTCGATCAAAATGTGAATTCAACCCCCCCCTGGCAATAAAACTATGCATTTTTGGGGATTGGCTCAATGAAAATATTTTACAGAACCACATGAACTACATCATATCAAAAATTCAGAAAATTCACCGGAACGCCGAAACCCAATTTACCTTACAAAATTTGCGGGGTTCTTTTCTTTCAGAGCTATATCTGAACATTGATCTGAAATAAAAACAAGAATTCAAGATCCTCTTTCAAATCGTAAATACTCTGTATTTCAAATTGTGGAAACATCTGCGCCATCTAGAGCCTTCATTTGAAAACCTTCATTTACAGTTCAATTTACAGTTACAGATTTCTTTCCGAATTTTCCTGCCCTCTAGTGAATAATAGCATCACTGAACAGTGTAGATTTCTGTTATAAATTGTGTCGGTAACAAAAATTTCGATATTATCGTTCCATCATGTCGTTCGACGTTGTCAAAGTCAAAATGTCAATAACAAAATTGACATGACGTTTCTCTTTTAGTTTTGTTGGAGAAGCTGTCACCACAACCCTTGTAAGTTTATTTTGGAAAATCTCATTGCATCCCCTAAAATAATTCTTGCATTATTATAATATTCATTAATTCTAATTAGGGTGATTCCTTCTCAAGTTTTCTTGATAGTATTTTTGATGTATCTTATATTGCAAATGCCTAAAATCTTAGGTTAGGATCAGTATCCTCTTTTCATCTATTTTCTTTTTCAGAGCAAAATGGGGAAAATTATGAAGTCTGGAAAAGTCGTATTGGTCCTTGGAGGCCGATATGCAGGAAGGAAAGCAGTAGTAATAAAAAATTACGATGACGGTACTTCAGATAAACAATATGGGCATGCTCTAGTAGCTGGAATTGATAGGTACCCCCGCAAAATCCACAAACGTATGGGAAAAGGCAAAATGCACAAAAGATCGAAAATCAAGCCTTTCATCAAAGTGAGTTTTCAGTGATTGGTAGAAATAGAATCACCCAATCTTTATTTATGTAGATGTTTCCAAGTTACTTCTGCTGTTGTTTGTTATTTTCTTTTTTCCCAGATTTTTTCCATGAATAGCAATCATTAGAATAAATAATAACTTTTTTGTTGAAATTCAGCCAGACATTTTCCATAACTATCTGGTGATTGATGTATTTTTTTCTTTCCAATTTGATAAACTATTGGCAAAGCTTTATGAATTACTTATATAATTTTAGGTATTAAACTACAATCACTTGATGCCCACAAGGTACACAGTAGATTTAACTTCAGACCTCAAAGTAGGACCAAAAGACCTTAAAGATCCCATGAAGAGGAAGAAGATTCGCTTCCAGACTAGAGTGAAGTTTGAAGAAAGGTACAAGCAGGGCAAGAACAAGTGGTTCTTCCAGAAACTGAGGTTCTAGGGTGTTTTAGTTTGACCTATTTTGTAAGAAGTTATAAACCTATTCACCTTTTATTGTAAAAATGAATGGTGGATCAAATATGTGTTGATTGATTGCCTTTACCCCAAGAAGTATTGATAATAAGGATACACAAAAAATGAAAACAGTAGGAGAATAATTGTAAAATTATGTGTTTCAAGTATTCAAATCATGAATGAATAATATAAACTGGGTCTGTGAGGTATGGAATTTGAACTATTTCCTAAATTAATAGTCTTTGAAAAAAATAGGAAAAACGTGAATTTTAATGTTCCTTACAAAATTTCATTACACAGGATGATACACATTGAGGTGGTGATGATGGTACAGCAAGTTTTCATAATGTTACATCCTGTATTTTGTGTCCCCATGTTAGAGTCAGCTCATTTTGATTGACCTAAAAATGCCAGAATATAGGGTGTTACATTTGAAAAATTCATTGTTGACCTATGCACCTCTTGATGTGTATAACCTTGTAAAATGAATTTTTGTGGTAAAGTGTACAACACCCAAATAAAAAATCGCTGTATTTCATATTGTATGAAAAGGCTGTCAATTTATGAAATATTGAATTTATTGCATACTTCATGGAAATACTGTTTACTATGGAAGTGTGAAATTATTCCACTACCTACCCTATGACCATTTTGTTTGACAAAATTTGACTCATTTCAATGAAGAAATGTCCTCTCAAATTAATTTATGATTCAGTATCCAGAAAACATGAGAATGGACTATTGAAATGTAATATGAAACTGCACTGAGGCAAGAATAAAAAAGTGCAATGAAGCTGCAAAATTAGTAGTTTATTTATGAAGTTTCTGTTCCAAATTATTGTGGAAATTTCTAATTCGCGATGGAAAATAAGCATAGGAAACCTATCGAAGTTCTTGAAAGCTGTCAAAGCGGCATATTTTACTTTGTTTTCATTGGTTCGCATCTGTTTTTTGTTTGTGCTATTTGGTCATATCAAAACAAACCGCTCAGACGTGTTCAAGTTGCTGCCGTCAGGTGGGGCGACGTGTTATTTTCTATCGTATAAATCTGCTTGTGAATGCCTAATGAAAATTAATTGCAACTGCTTGGATGTGATGAACACTTCAAAAATAATTAATAAGTTGAATGACAAAATTGGATTACTCTTATAAATGATAAAATCCAAAATAAATAAATCAGAGCAACATTTTGAAAAATTAAGTTGATTGTTGGTATAAAATGTATAACTACACATTTTGAAAGGAGAAATAGATTTGGGATAGGTAAATTCAAAATCGGAGACATTTCTGGTGAAAATGGAAGTGACCGAAAACACAGATTAACAAACCTTAGAAAACTGTCCTCTCCACATACGCCATGGACGTATACGTCCATGCCACATACCTACCACCTACCCACCAAATCTCATTTTGATACACTCAATTTTCTACATTCGGGGAGGCAAAGACGCAAATAAAAAAAATGTTTATGATATATGCATGACCTTTCACTGAGAGACCGTGTACAGGTGTTCAAAATTAAAAAAAAAACGGTCACAGAAATACTCGAGCACATCAGATATTTATAGTGTATGCGCCCCACGTGTAACCGACCGAAAAATATTAATCTGCCGGTTTGCATGGTAGGATAGAGAATTAATAGGTAAAAAAAAAAATTCGAGCGCGTCAGGTAATGAGAAGGTACGTTAAGTGAACCCTCAAGTAGCTTCTAATCAAAAGACTGACGATTTGGACCAAGTTATGATCGGTTTTTGAAAATGAAATAAAAAATGGTGACCTTGAAATACTCGACCGTGTCAGATTATTATACAAACGCTTCATCTTAATGCCCTTGTCGTATCGACCCATAATCTGACAACTATGTAGAACGGTTGTTTTTTTTTTTGTTAACTGAATGTAATAACTAATTGTCTTCAAAATACTAAAAAAATGAACCGCGCTCGAGAATGTACAGGTGACGATTTTTTGCAACTTTATGGCTCTCCCGTTTCATTATGTCACGCTCAAATCGTCAGATTAATGCACACTTTTCTGCATGTAATCAACGTACCATGTCTTAATCTGACGCGCTCGAGTATTTCTGACGATCGATTTTTTTTTTCTAATCTGATCGGCTGCCCTAAAGTTTCGACACCATTTAAAGGGCCCAGATATGGTGGGAGTACTTCACAAGGTTCAAGGATACCCCATTTATACAGGGTGTCCCAAGATTAGCCTGCCAAACTTCACTAGACTAGCGGCTTCTACGATAAAAAATAGGAAGGAAAGTTTCAATGAATATGAGACGAGAAATGAGTCCTAAAGGAGCTACGGCCCCCTGAAAAGGGCTCCTGAAGATGATATTTCTTGAGTATTTCCGGAACCCCATGTGATAAAAAGATGCAATTTGGTACAAGAACTATACTTTCCATGCCCAATGCAGTGAAAATGAAATTATTTCGAAATTTCACTCAAAAGTGTATAATACATGGTGGGACCACATTAAATATTGCTAAAATTTTTTTGGATGAATATTTTTCGACAATTTAATCTTGGATTATGAAAATCCATATCATTTCACAAAAGAAGGTGCTCCTGGTCCGCATCGATCAGATGTATCATTTTCGAGTGAAATCGATTTGAAAATATTAATACACTCACATCTTATGGATAACGTTTCCAATTTTCGAATCATATAGTGGCCATAAAAAAATCAACCACATTCTTTTCACCAAATAATCTCCTGAAAGCGTGAAAAATAGGAAAATGATGTTAAAAAAAACTACTTCAATTTTTTCCATTTTCAGTACGACTCAATTGCAATGTTATGCATATAATATCTGAGATGTAACAATATTTTTTAATCGTTTTTACTCGATAATGATACATATGATCGATGCGGAACAAGAGCACCTTTTTTGTGTAAAATGATATGGATTTTCATAATCCGACATTAAATTGTCGAAAAATATGCATAAAAAAAATTTTGAGCAATATTTAATGTAGTCCCACCCTGTATTACACACTCCTGAGTGAAATTTTGAAATCATTTCAGTTTCACTGCATTGGGCATGGAAAGTTTAGTTCTTGTAGCAGATTGCATCTTTTTATCACATGAAGTTTCGGAAATACTCAAGAAATATCATCTTCAGAGGAGCCCCCTTCCAGGGGGCCGTGGCTCCCTTAGGAGACATTTCTGGTCTCATATTCATTGAAACTTTCCTTCTTATTTTTGATCGTAGAAACCGCTGGTGAAGTTTGGCACGCTAATTTTGGGACACCCTGTATATGTTAATCTACCGCGCTCGAGTAAATTCCGAAATCCTCGCTTGGGCTTCCTTACTATATGCCATCCTTGTTATGACTAATAGAATTGTTGATAACACATGTTATAGGCAAAAATAGAAGCGATTTCATTTCATATTTTCCAAACCATTTGGAATGTATGTACTGGCGGAATTGTATTGTTAACACAGTATAGACCCTTCCGTCTATACTGTGTTATTAGTGAAAATCGATTGAAAAGAACCATCCGATTTCAATCAGCACATAGGCGTTTTTTGTATTTTGGTTGCAGCCTGTATATTCTACTTCATTGTATTGATATAGTTCCCGAAACTTTCAGTTTAATTGTAGGTAAATAATAGATAATTAAATGACATCAAAACTCGCAAAATTCAAATGGAACAGAGTATTTTCTAGTCGAATATTGAATATCAATGTTAATTCTGAATTTTTAAGTTATCTGAAGCATATATGGAAAAGTGCCTTTTATCCTGTGAAATACACTAATAATTTTTCTATCTGAAACGTCTGAGAACTAATCGCAATTATTGTTGGGCAACAAAACGAAAAATAGTCTTGAAAGATACTTTATTCTTAAAGTATTGTACAAAATAAATATATTGTATATGCATATATGCATATACCTGGGTCATTATCTGGTATACATTCTCAATAGAAAATTTCTCAATATGATCATTCTAACGTTTCGTAATCTCTATAACCTTTTATGCTATTTGGAAGACCATAAAATCCATACATTGAAAAACCTGTAAATAACTTGATAAGAGTTTCACAAACAGATAATAGTTTCATAAAATAATATCATGCATAATTATTCATCATGCTTTAACAATGAGTAAATTGGGAAATGTTAAAAAGTTGCAAAAAAATAACTCAATAACTTGATCATAAATATGTAACCAAAGAACGTTTATTCAATTCCCTAAACATTTGGTCAATTTGCAGGTATTTTTTTGCAACTTTCAAACCTCTAAATCGATACCTTTTCAAGATCAAATTGATCTTTGATTAATCATCCAAATTTGTAAACAATTTCAAAATGAGATAGAAGGCAATCAAATTAAGTAGAAGCATATTCAAATTCGAAATAAACAGTTCAAATTGGGAATGACGATATCCAAGTTGTTTAACTCAGTCAAATTATTGAGAATGGACGAAATAATTGGAAAATTAGATTAGTCAATATACAGGGTATGTGCATGCTTATATTTCAGGATACGCTCTCTTCATTTGAAATATTTTCGACAATGCCGTGTTGCCCCTTCTACTAGAAAGTAGTAGCAACATTGATATTTCAAATGGAACACCCTGTATTTCATCGCATTCTTTGATTCTTCCGAAAAAGATGATATCATCGATATATCACACTTGAGGTCTATCGAAAATGATTACAGAGATATAGGGTGTATACAATCGAGATTTTTCAGCTTAAGGATTTTTTTGTGTCGAAACTATTCATTATCGGTCAAAATGGCTCACATATGTTCCTGTCCCAACTTTTGATTCACTATTTACTGATATTCAATCGGAACACAGATACAGGGTGGTGCAGGATTCAGAATTCTGAACACCCTGTATCTGTTCCGATTGAATATCAGTAAATAGTAAATCAAAATTGAGATAGGATATGTGAGCCGTTTCGGCTGATAATGAATAGTTTCGACACAAACGAATCTCGATTTTGAACCCCCTTTATCTCTGTAATCATTTCCGATAGTTCCCAAGTGTGATGTATCGATGAAATCAGCTCTTCAGGAAGAATCTAAAAATGCAATAAAATACAAGGTATTCCATTCGAAATAACAAAGTTGTTGCTACTTTTTGATAGAAGCGGCAACACTGCATTGCTGGAAATATTTCAAAATGAAGAGAGCGTATTCTAAAATATTCGAAATTAAAATGCAATCATTTGTCGTATATTATAATTGAGCTGCAATATGCCAAAAAAACAATAATCGAAAACATTTTCTACAATATTCGATAAAAATTGTGATTGAAACGGATTTTCAAAAGGTGAAGAATTTTGATGAGGTAAAAACACTATGGGGAGGTAAGAGAAGGGCTAAAATCACTGAAGAACATCAAATCATTGTTCAGTGCATTGAGAGAAACTATGAAATGAATTATTTTAGTTTCGATTACATTACGTTTATTTTCAAATTGGGTGTGTAAAATCAATTATGAATCATTCGGCCCCAATGAGAATTTGGTTATTCCAAATCGAAAATGATCTGAATTTGAAGTTGAAATGGTATATTTTTTCAAATAATATGTATGAGGGCTTCCTATGAACTACTGGGTTTTCACAAGAATGTCCTATAAGTATGAAGTCCCAACAAATCCAAAAGAAACATATTAATTCAATAGACACAAGTCATTCAAGTTGTTCTTTCAAACCCAAATAAACCCCACTAAGCAAGCCATATATAGTTAAAGCAGAACATGCAACATGAGGATATAAGCAGGGTGTGTCACAAATGGGGCGGACAACTTTGAACTCCGAACCACTATTGGTCTGAATTAATCTCATTCATTGTTTATTATCTACACAATTGAATTTTTTCTACTACCAGTTCTTCTCAATTCGATTGTTCTAAAAATTTCATTCATCGCCTGTCTATGCTTTGCCTTGTCATCTATTTTATGGCCCAAAGTTTTAACATCACGAGAGAACTCAGGTTTCTTCAGAGATTCCAGACTTTTCAAATTGATACTCCTGAATATAGTGTTCATTCTTCCTTTATGCGCCATAAAATCTTCGTTCAAAATATTTTTCTCAGCAACAACCTCACTGTTGTTCTCAGGTTCCCCAACAACAGGTGTTTCTACTTCAATTATTGGACCTTCACTAGTCACATCTACATTTTCTATCAAACTTTTCGATGTCCTAACTTTCTCTGGACTACCCAAACCACTCAATCTGGCATTCACAAACAGCCCCAATTTTGCCTTCGCTTCATTCTTATCGATACTCTCCTCGATAACGTTTTCATTCTTCTTCTTCTCAACAGTCGGTTCTACCGGGACAACGAGCTTCTTCTCATAGTTCACATAAGGAGGACTACTGAATCTTATCTTCTTCAACTTGCCTTCAAGATTTTCCATGAAAGATTTAGTCTTGTTCGACCCCACCCTCAGATTATCATCGTCAGGCTCGAACTCGGCATCTTTCTCTTTTTTCCTGATTTCCACCGACTTCAAAGTAGTCCTCTGCAGATTACCAGCCGTGATCCTCGGTAGGCGCACTACCTTACCGACATCAGGCGGAGGGAATGGCGGTGGAGGAGGGGCAACAACCTCTTCGCTCCCTATCGGAGAAGGAGGGGGAGTCTTTTCGTCCTCCGACCCATCTGGTGAAGTTTGCGGGTTGTCTTTCTCGTCCTCAGACTCCTCGAATGAAGTTTGCAAAGTAGGGGGAGTGTCAGGCGGTGAAGACACTTCGAATGAAGTTTGCAAGTTGGTTTTCCCGTCTTCTGACTCTTCTAGTGGAATTTGCGAGGCTGCGGGAGTGACAGGCGGTGAAGGAGCAGCAACAAAAGCAGGAGGGGAGGGGGAAGGATCTGGCTCAACGAACGAAATGACATTGTCACGATGCACATCGGCGACTACGCTTTCTTCACGCAGGGGCACATCCGAAACGGATACGCTACTGATAGATACGCTACGCTCTAAAATGGATTTGTCTAGGACTTCGTCTAGCATTCTGTCGAGTTTTTGCAGTTCTTGTTGGATTTCTATCGTTTTGTCCTCGGATTTTCTCGGTGGTGAGGGGGCGCGTTTCTTCTTAGTCTCGCCAGTTCCTGTTACTTTCAGAGTGTCGTCTTCGAAACCGTTATTAGAAAAATAGAGGCCATTGTGTTTTTCGGTGCCGTTAATTTTACCGTTTTTTATTTGCGCATCTTCATAATATGGTCTATGGGAATAATAGTAAATGATGATGCCTAGAGAGAAAAAAAAAGGAAGAATGTGCGCATGCATTATGTACAGCAAATCGGAGATGATGATAATTTGTAAGGTAATCTACATCTACCAGTTTGAACCATTCCATGAAAAATATAGGGTGCTTACCTAGTGCCATCCAAACGCCAAATCGTATCCAGGTATTCACATCCAGCATCAGCATCAGATAAATATTGATTAATATGCTGAGTGCTGGAATCAGTGGTACCAATGGTACCTAAAAACAGTTGACAATAATTCTCAAATAATAACCACAATGGAATGTTTATGAGTAAAGGGCGAATGCACTGGTGTATTCATACTTTTCAAACTGCACTTCATAGACTCATTATCCCAACAAGATGCAATAAAACAATATTTTCAACAGTTTTTTGTCACTAAATTAGCTGATTTTTCATTTGTAACTGTTAAGCAGATTGAGTGATTGGCAAAAAAGAACAGGATCAGTACTTCTATATGTATGGAGCATTCATTACTATACGCAAAGATCAGGCAAATTCAATTGAATTCAATGCTCCATAGCTTTTTTAATTTTCAACGCAATTCCATGATTTTTCTGCAAATCATCTATACTTATACAGGGTGAGTCATGAGGAACTGTACATGCTCCTACCACGAATAGAGGCACCTGAGGGGAATACCAAATGACCATCAGAAAGTGTCTCCGCCTCTTCTAAAATAATCTATAGGGTGATTAATGGGATATGGCCAAAACTTCTTTCAATCATAACTTTCCAACAGTTATTTCGATTCCTTTCATTTTTTGATGGATTATAATGCTATCACTCGGCAATCAACTGACGTATTCAGAATCGAAAAAATCCAGGACCGGTCTTGAGAAATTCTGCCAATTTGATTCATATAAAAAATTTCACCCTGTATAAGGTTTTAGTAAACTGTGTTATGGAATTTTCAAAGTTGATGAACAGGCAAATAAAATGAAGTAATACAAATTTTCCTCACACTTTCATTGAATTTCTTAGAATATGATTAATTTATACTACACGCGAAACTTGGGAAACAAATGTATTAATTTGAAAATAAATACTTCACAATGCATGAATTTCACGAATTGAAGTAAGGATAAAATTATTCCCAATTCTTCAGCTCAACAATAATCATCATTCTTCTATTTCCAGGGTTGGATTCAGTAATTTTTTAGTAGAGTAACAATCACAAAAAAATTCACCCTGTATATGGTTTTAGTAACCTGTGACATGGAATTGTCAAAGTTAATGAACCGGCAACCGAAATGAAGTATTTTAAATTTCCCTCAGAGTTTCACCGAATTTCTTAGAATACGATCAATTTTCACTACACACGAAACTTTGGCAACTAAAGTATTAATTTGAAAATTAATACTTCGCAACGTTAGAATTTCACGAATAGAAGCAAGAATAACATCATTTCCTATTCTTCAGCTCACTGAATATCAACATTTTTCTATATCCAGGGTTGGATTCAGTAAATTTTTGGTAGACGGTGATAGCATTAGTCACACTGTATGTTTTATCATAATGGTATGTGCAAATCTTGAAAATCATTGACACAAAAATTTCTTGTAGTGTTTTTTAGAAATCCGCAATATTATGAAAATTCGAATCAAGAATTTTCCAGGCAATTTCGTTCAACAGACTGGTCATCAACTGAAATCTGGAATATTCAGAAATACTCTGAATCTCTATTACAAATCGATTAAAAACCTCAGAATCTTTCAATGATTCAAGCTATAACATTCGTCCATCACATAACATCATACAGGATGATGATTACTTTCCACAAAAAGAAGAAATACAACCCTGAAAATTATAGTCATGTTGATTATCACTGAGATTAGGAATTGGAATAGATGTAAATCTTGCTTTTATACGTGAAATTTAAGCGTTGCGAAGTATTTATTTCAAAATTAATTAATGTTTTTGCTAAAGTTTCGTGTTTGGTAATAATTGATCTTATTATTTGAAGAAATTCATTAAAACAGTATGGACAATTTGGAATGCTTTATTATGGTTGATTGTTTGTAGAATTCAAGAATTTCATGTCACAGTTTACTAAAACCATATACAGGGTGGAATTTTTGGTGATTATTACCCTCTACCAAAATATTACTGAGTCCAACCTTGGAAATAGAAGAATGTTGATTATTGTTGAGCTGAAGAATTGGGAATAATTTTATTCTTCTTTTTATTCATGAAATTCATGCATTGCGAAGTATTAATTTTCAAATTAATACATTTGTTGCCCAAGTTTCGCGTGTAGTATAAATTAATCATTCTTTAAGAAATTCAATGAAAGTGTGAGGAAAATTTGTAATACTTCATTTTGGTTGCCTGTTCATCAACTTTAAAAATTCCATATCACACTTTACTAAAACCTTATAAAGGGTGAAATTTTTTATATATGAACCAAATTGGCAGAATTTCTCAAGACCGGTCCTGGATTTTTACTATTCTGAATACGTCAGTTGATTGCTGAATGACAGCATAATAATCCATGAAAAAATAAAAAGAATCGAAATAACTGTTGGCAAGTTATGATTGAAAGAAATTTTGGCCATATCCCATAAATCACCCTATAGATTATTTTAGAAGAGGCGGAGACACTTTCTGATGGTCATTTGGTATTCCCCTCAGGTGCCTCTATTCGTAGTAGGAGCATGTACAGTTCCTCATGACTCACCCTGTATTATAATAAAAAGGATAGATTTGATTGTTTGTTTGTATATAACCAGGAGAAGGTTATAGGATACTTTTTATCCCAGTACCATTAGGAAATTCAAGATTGCGGATCTAATATATCTGACGAGTTCTGTAATTATGGTCCGATTCTATTCAAAATTGGTATTAGGGGGTTTTCGGGGTCGGAGATTATGATTCTTTCGTCAAAATTAATAAATTCAATATGGCGGACGAGTATTGTAATTATGATCCGACTCTCTTCAAAATTGTTATCTGGGTGTTTTTGGGATCGAAGATTATGATTCTTTTGTCAAAATAAATTTGGACAGGGGAGGTGATTTGGAAATTCAAGACGGTGGAACCAATACCGGACGAGTTTTGTAATTATATACCGATTCTATTCAAAATTTATAAGTGGGCGTTTTCGGGATCAAAAATTATGATTCCTTCATCAAAATTTTTTTGGAATTATGTTCCGATTCTATTCAAAATTTTCATCCGGGATTTTAGGAGTCGGATATTATGATTCTTTCGTCAATATTGGGAAATTCAAGTGAACTAAAAAGAAGTTGAAATAAATGGTAGTTTGAAAAACCAAATGTACACGCTTTCATAGATAGTGAAACTGAAAATAAGTAGAAAATAAAATACTAATAGTCTCTTGATGAATATTGAACTGAAAAAATATATTATAGAAATAATGTATATAGCAAAACAACGTTTGCGAGGTCTGCTAGTTGCTTATAATTTTGAGAATCTGTTCTTTTAATCCATAAAGTCAAAAAATGTACATGGAGTTTCAAATATTGAAATTGAATATACACATGTACAGAAATGACTAGTTTGAGTGGTTTTTGTTTTATTTAAAATACGATGTGAATTTTGAAATTGAATAACAAAACCAAAATATCTATAGGAATAAGTGGAACTTTTTCTTCATGAAGAAGGGGTTTCTCACACCCCACCTGTCGAAAGGTTGTTATATAACTCATGACATATTGTTCACAGGAAACAACATTGGTACAGTATTTTCTTCAACTCTTGGAGCGCACGAAAGGAATTTTATAGCAGAGGTTTCTGAGGAACATTTCCCAATAAAGTATCTTTAGAGAAGTTAAAGGTCGCCGACTTTTCTACGGTGTTCTAATGGGGTCAAATAGTTGGTGAGTGTGGCATCACCCACCAGGCAAATGGCTCTTCTCTTAATGGAATCTATGAGCATCAGCGTATGTTTGGGTGCTGAACCCCATACATGAGAACAGTATTCTAAAACAGGCCGGATATGTGCTTTGTAGATCATGTTGTCATGTGAAGCACGGAACAAGAAACCGAGTTCAAAAATTAACCGAGGAGGTAGTACATCCATTTTTCCAGATTTTCTGGGACCGGAAATCAGACAACATCGCATTCTAGCACTTCAATTCATTATTGAACATAACCTCGGAATATCATTGGAAAAAAAAAGATGAGGAACTAGAAACCGAGTTTTTGTCAATCAAAGATTATTCGAGGAGGTAGTACATTCATTTTTCCAGATTTTCTGGAACCGGAAATCAGATAAAATCGCATTCTAGCACCTCAATACATTATTCAACATAACCTCGGACTATCATAGAAAAAAAAAGATGAGGATATGACAACATAATTTGTATTTTTATCAACCCTATGTGTCTGAATTTTCTGGAATCTATGTAGATTTGAGGTAAATATTATGATTATCATGGAAGCTAATCATATCCGGGAAGACTATTTTCATGCTCAGCTAAGAATAATAAAATAGAATAGAAATAGAATAATAATTGGTACCTACACATAACAAATGAAAATTAAATCATGTCATCATATCCATATTCTCTCTACCGTAGTGAAACGCTCTGATATTTTTGAAAAATTTCCTCTTTTCAAAAACGTCGTCATAATCAATCTATGACGCATGAGAATTCGGAAAAATGATAGAATGAAACCTCGAAAGTGTCGCCAGTTTTTTCTTATTATAACTATCATGACAGTTTTGAGAAAAAGCACCAAATTACTCATAAACATCCCATTAATTAATCAAAGATGCCTACTTTGAAGGACAGTTGCTTTTTGGAAGTCGGTTGTGTAACCATCGACATCATCAATAAAACGGCCAAGAGAACCGTCACTGACGTCAAGGAAATAGCCCAAATTTCGCCGTTAAGTATATTATCCTTCCAGAATTTCGCACAGAGGCAGATCAGTAAACAAATGAAGCCTGAAAAAACGAAAAACAAAAATTAGCTGTGGATTCTGAAAAATATGGAAAACATGCATGAGCAATTAGGCGAATTGCCTAATTTTTTGTATTCCAAATATAATCATCACTAAAATACCTTGCCATTTCATATATTTTTTCAAAATCTTTGGTCGATGTTAAGGTGCTAAAATCATCAATAATGCCACAGTAATTTTCAAACTGCTAGAAATTTACCGCGAGTAAAAACTGACCAACGATTTCGTAAGTATGGGAAGACCATGTGTTGAAAAACGATTGGGAATTTCAGAAATATCAGTTATTCAATAATACATAAATTCTCAATTATGTAAGTATTGGTAATATTCCTAGTTAGCAATAAAAAATCAATTGTCTCAAAATGTTCCCTAATGATTTGTGGCTTATTATAATAAATTTGTGTAGATAATAATTATTTTAATTCACATTAGAGGTCATTTGAATCAGTAAACGTGGCAACACGGCGCAAGAATTGAGGGTGTGGTCTTGTCAGTTCTCAGCATTCAGCATAATGTTTCCAGCATTCACATGATATTTTTAGTGACTTGACAACCTTACTTCGGAATGAATGATTGAAAGTATCACCAAATGGCGGCCATGACGGTACGTTTGAAATGAGCTCTGATATTCAATGATTTCGAATAACACATAGACTCATTATTTACATAAAAAAAACGTTAGAAGTGTTGCAAAAATTAATTTAGGTTCCTACCCAGTATATTAGCACTCTGATAGCAAATTCCATTGACAGGAACTGATGGAGTGTGACTTTCGAGTCCGTTGCAGAAAAACGGTATTTTCTGCTACCGGTGAAAAAAATCGCAGAATTGTCATACTTAATTGATGGGAGATCTAAAATGTTTTTGAAATTCGAAGGAAAAAGCTTATGAATTAGTTGAGAATTAGGATTATTATTGCCTAGTAAATTCTTTTGTGGAAGTAAAATTCGACATTATATTCCTTTCACCCATAATAAGATATACTTAGAATTTAAAAAAATCCATAAGGTTTGAAGAATTGTTTCCTTATCTCGCCTACACAAGAAAAGAGGAATGAGCACGTGTTGTTTGTAGGTGGAACGTGAAAGACACCCGCCTGACATAAAAATCAGCTCGTTATTTATGTTGTATTTTTTCAGTTTCTCATATCTCTTTGTTGGACTATATATGAATAGATTATAGAAAAGTATACTCACAGTACAAAAACACTTCCACTGCTACTATGGATTCAGAAATTTTAGTTGGTTGTTGATTTAGACCACAGTTGAAGATATGCCTAATCACATTTGAACTACTATTAGACTCATACCTCAACGGCTCACTTTCATCATAACTCTGATCAACATCATTAGGAAAACCCTCCCTATTATCAGTGTATCTGAAGTAAATATGAAAAACCATAATATAATCTCGGTGATAACATGTAATAATCAACAAAACTTCAAGCTACTCTTAGCATGCACTTGACTAAACCACACATACAACTTTAAATACCCATCCAAAGCAAAAATCTACCAGAAGCTTTGGAAAATTGCCAATTTAAATTGGAAAGTGCATCAACACCATCCACAAATAATAGATTTATTAATGGTTACATTCTGTTATGATAACCCGTGTGCACGGTGGATAAAAAAGTGTCATATTTGACTTTCCTATCAAAAACTCGATTTTCCACTGCAAAACAACACACACACGCACATTCTGTCTCACAAGTAAATTGTCCTTTCTTTTAAGATTTTCAAGTTATACCATACTATGTTATCTATTCGAAATAATCATTGCTAATCATTTTAATCTGCCGTTAGGTGAATTGTCTCCTTTCATACTGATGTTAAGAACTTCAGCAATACACCATTTATAGGTACCAATTTATATTTCAACCTTTAATGAGGAAAAGGCATGGTTGGTAGATTTTTGCATGATGGCTGCTAGTAACAAGCTTTAATCGAACATACACTTACGTGTCACTGTCATCAGAATCTGATACAGTCTGTACAGGCATGTATAACCTTACTTCCTCATTCGAATATCTAATAGAAATTGAGCATGGTTAAGCGTTGACAAAATACAAGAACATTGCTTCTAAGGAAAGAAATTTTCATTCAAGCTTACCGCAAAAGAAGAACGCTAGCTGCTACGATAGTATAGGCTAAAAGTGTACCGATTGACATCATATTGACGAGTTGCTTAAGATCGAATATTGCAGCCATGAGACCTGAATTTGAAGAAATCTTAAAGACTATTTTAAATTTGAAAAAAAAAAGATCTACCTGTTAATAATCCAGCAACTAGAGTACCGATGACAGGGGTTTGAAATCTTGGGCTAACTTTTCCCAGAAATTTGAATACCAAGCTATCATTAGCCATCGCATATATTATTCTTGGCAAAGGAAACATTGCCCCAAACAAGCTGAAAATATATAAAAATTTTAAATGGAAGATTGAACTAAGTAAAAATATATGTAGGGGAAGTCCAATTAAAAAATCGAAAGTGGGAAGTATGGAAAGGAAGTAAATATGTCAAAAAATTTAAATTGAACTATAATACATAATCCAAAAATTTCGTTTTTCTATCTTCAATAATAAAAAAGATAATAGGAAATATCGGGGAGGTCATTCAATCGGGCAACAAGCAAACTACTTTATTGCTATGCCAGAATAAAATGAAAATTTTTGAAAGCTTGGCATAGCAATAAAGTAGTTTGCTTGTAGCCTGATTGACTGAACTCACAGATATTTCTAATAATAAAATAAGGTCGATAAACTATTCAATAAAAAAGACAGTAGGAGAATTATAGGGGTGACACCTTGGAGAATTACCCAGTATAAGTTGGGCAAATCATTAGGGTTAATTTATTCTCACTTGAAGAATCTACTGTGTTATCAAAATTTTGAAGACATTTCACCATTCCTGAAGTTTTTTATATTCACTATGGATTTCCACAAAGTATCGGTCGATATTAATAGTTATTGATACCAATTTAAATTTGGGAGGAGACTAGTTTTTCGTTAGTGATACCTATACCATTGTCGACCTAAAAAGAACTTAATAGGCGACCTAGTACGCGAGAAGGATAGCTCTCGCCTACTAAAAACGACAATGCCTATACAGATCATTTTTGATCTTTCTCACATTGTGAAAACGCTCTTTATGACGGGTCCGTTCAGACAGAAATGTTTCCTTATTATAGAAAACAATATGATTACCCCCCTCCACTACCCTTAAGCTAAAATGTATTTACCTGGCACACAGTCCAAATATTCCACCAATAGACACTATCCACTTTGCCCATTCCCAGCCAATGTGTTCAAAAGCAAAGGGTATAGGAGCATCAGGATTCTGAGAAAAATAAAGATGTAGCCAAAACAGGTTTTTTTTTCATTTGAATGATACTATACCTGAAGATAATATGGTACCATCAGAGTAACAACAGTGGAGGTTCCAAAATATGCCAAAAACACGATGGATAATGATAAGATGATGGAAATCGGTATGGCTTTCTTAGGATTTTTTACTTCTTCCCCGGTAGTAGCAATACAATCAAAACCAACAAAGCCATAAAAACAAGTTGCAGCACCTTTTATCATACCTTCTATACCAAAAGGGAAGAAACCACCCTTACCAATTACAGTGGAATTAGATGAATTTGTAGGTTGTATATACCAGTTTGCAGTATCAGCTATAACACGAAAATAATAATTATCCAAATCATAGAATTGACCCAGATATGCCTACTGTCCTATATTTAGTACACCTATGCTAGCTCTATTCCTTCCAACACTAGCGCCATATTTTCATATGTAGCAAGACTACGTGTTCATTCCACATAGAAGGATTAGGAGCATATCAAAAATATTCACAGACTTGTATCAATACCAATTTGAATTAAGGGGTTATTTCAGCAGATGGATGATTACAATGTACGCTCTGCTTGGCGAGTTATTTTGTCATTCTCGTAGTTATTTTCAAATCCAATTTGCGGTCTCAATGATCAGATAAATAACATAAGTTTCATATGCCGTTCTGAGCATTCATGATATTTGTTTTTCATATCTCGGGTTTATTGTTGCCGTCCTACATATAGGACATTAGGCAGCTATATGACCTTTATTCATTTGGTAGAGGTTTTGCCTTCTATGAAGCAATTGCTATATTGGAAGGATCTGATGAAGAAAAGATGAATGCAATTCAGGATATAACAATTTTTACTTCAATCACCGCAACCACTGAGTTGACAGATGACGATTCGGGCGAGAACACTTTTTAATGAAAAATATGCCAGGATCTGAACTTCGCGTTCTTGAGTTGAATTTTTGTCACAATGGTGGTCAGGTTGGTATTGAAAGTTTAGCTTCAGAGAATGATGTGGCATTATATACGATTAAAATAATAATAGAGGAAGAGAAGAAGAAATCCAAGAAAGTAAAGGAAGAAAAAATGAAAATTGAACGATCGAATCGAAAGAGATTTGCCACTATAGAAAATGCTATTGATAATGAAAAACAGAAAAAGAAATGTGTTGGCCCTCTGGAATTATTTTCAAAATTTTTCGACGAACCTATTGTGGAACTGATAATTCAAGAAACTAACAAGTATGATCACCAAAAAAATGAAAGAGGTGATATCTAAACATCTGAGATGAAGAATATATTGGAAGAGAGAACAAGATGGAAAAAATGGGTTAGTAACTGAGACCATCTCCAAAAACAGAAAAATAAAAGAATGATAGAAGATATCACTGACTTGATCATTCAGTGATTCCACACGTCAACCAAACTCGATGTGCCTTGTTCTATTAAAAAAATACTACGAGGTGCTCAAATTTTGACGATCACACAAAGTGTTTCATCATGTTTTATCAAACAACATAACCAGATTCAATTGTCATCCCTATGTGCCTAATGTACTAAATATAGGACGGTCAGATTTTTGTATCAGTCAATGAACAACAATTATAAAATCCATACACTTGATTCATTTTGACCCCAGTATAATGAAATCTGGAGCATTCAAAGTCCTTAATTCCCCAAAAAGAATTTAGGTATATCTGGGTTAAGTTCAGTTATTACCAACCTTTTATAGATCCAAATATAATAACAAATAAAACAACTAAGACATTCACTGTAGTGAAAATGTTGTTCGCCAAACTGCTCTCTTTGAGTCCAAATGCCAAAGCAACTGAAAAAATCGTTAAATAGATACATTTCCTCAAGTTTATTACAGATGTTCACCTGCTAGGAGTAGTGATATCCCAAACGAAAAAAAGTCAAAATATTTTGATAAATATGGAATGTTAATGGGAGCAACTTCAATAAATGCATCCTGAAGAGTATTATTGATTAGCATATCCAAATAGACTGTAATTCCCCTGGCCACACTTGCAGATCCTGTAATTAAGTTATGAATGACTCACTCTGTATAAACACTAATCAACAATATCAATATGATTTGTATCTTATCACAATTTAATTATATTTCAAACAATGTGAAGTAAACAATAAATAATTTCAGCACATTTGCTATAAACTGAGGTATAAACTTACCTATGACATATTCCAAGATAAGATTCCATCCTATGACAAATGCAATAAATTCCCCAACACATACATAGCTGTAAATATAAGCTGAGCCGGCTCTGGGAGTTCTAGCACCAAATTCGGCATAGCACAGTCCTAAAGTATTTATTTTTCGTAAATTTAAATTCAAGAGCTGATAAATTATAAGCATATTACAAGAATTTAAAGTACCTATCTGAACCTACAATGAATCTGAAAATTTTTGAAACAGGATTGATAGAAATCTCTCATGATTCTTGATGAATTGAAACATCAAATAACCCCAATAAACAGGCTGTCTTATAGAAACACCACAGGGCTCCACAATGTTCAAGTATACTCCAATTTTATTCAAATAACAAGATTGATGCCAATACAAATTTCTACAAAGTGGTCTCTATTTTCTATGACCAACTTGACAATTTGATTGAACCTCAGATTGAATTCCCAGTATAGTGTTTTGAACATTTTCTGTTATATAAAACAAAATGTTAATTAAAGATTTACTAACAGAAACCTCCTTAAGAATCCAAGTTGGCAAAAGAATATCAATGTTCCATTGAGAAAAATTGATAATGGCACCAATATACCGGGTGAAACAGGGTTTCGGGCCACCCCTCTGTAACCTGCATTTGTAAAGGGATTTTTCAGGCTACATACAAGCATCCTATCCAATATCGCAAACTTCCGGTTTTTCTGGAAATGCCGGCAACTCTGTTTTTTTGAATGGAACACCATGTATATTTTTACATATTAAAGTTCAACAGGTCAAAACAAGTGCAATTTTTTATGTCAAATGTAATTTTTTCGAGAAAATTGTAATTAATTTTATTGTTAATTCACATGTTGATCAAAAATTCATTTTTTTCAAATGGAACTCCTATGGACCACCTATATTTTTTTTTATCGCTTGGATCGCACGAAAGGGAATCCCTATAATGTTCAAAGGGAGGATAGAGAGAGGAGGTAGGTATTGGATTTTTTATTGAAATTTTGGAGATTATAAGTTGTTGGGAATACTTCCACAGGAATTGAATTCCAGAGCCTAGCCGTTCTATGGATGAAGGAGTCTTGATAAAGTGCTGTTCAACATCTTTCGAGGTTGACAACGAAAGGAGGTGCTGACTGGGCTTGTCTAGTTAGTCTGATTGGTATTGCTAGTGAAGGGATGATAGCAGAGATTTCCAAAGAACATTTCCCGTGGAAGTATCGATAGAAAAGTGAAAGGTCGCCGACCTTTCTACGGTGTTCCAATGATGTCAAAGAGTGAGTGAGTGTGGCGTCACCCACCAGGCGAATGGCTCTTCTCTGGATGGAATCTAAGAGCATCAGCATATTTCTTTAGAACATACATTAAGTAAAAAATTTACATAAATTTTGTATATTTGTGCAGTAACTTATTGTATGTAGGTATTCAAAAATCAACAAGTTCCTGAATTTCCTTGCAGTTTGTGATCAAATTCGAAATGGTAGCATATTTCAGAAAAATCTTTTCACAAATGCAGAAGTTACAGGGGTGGTCCAATACCCTGTGTCACTAGGTAGTGTTCTTCAATCCATCAAATTTAAATTTATATTAAAAAAAAATGAATGAAAAATAAACACCTTGTGGTGTTTTTTATAAGACCTACATCCACCCTACATCCATCAAGATCTACAACTAATAGAAATGGAATGATTGATATTATCATTATTTTACCAAGAACCTGATGAGTAGGTCCATAATTGGATATACCCAATCTCAAGTACCTACTCAAATCAAGACTCAAAAGGACCTATACCAAGGTGGAATTTTATGAAAACTCACTGATCAAATTAATATGCCACTTCATTTTCATCCTGAAATAAACTGTATATTCCTAATCTTGAATTAGTACAATTCATAGAAGTGACTCATTATCAAAAATTGTCTATTTCCATTATTCAAAAATTGCAATTATTTGTTATTCCTGGCTATTTAAACCACTTGATTACAACAACCATAAGAAAAAAATAATTAGGTAGGTTTCCTGCTGAAGTGAATAGGTAATAAAAGTACAAAATATGTTATTTCTGAAGATGTGGATGATGTGTTTCTAAACCACAACAATTCAAAATACCTAATGCAATATAAAATAACAAATAATGACAAAAATTTAGTTTGGTGGATCTCACCTGCGAAGACAGAAGCTATGGCAGCAATGAGGAAAGACAAGATAACAGCAGGCCCAGCAGTGTCTTTGGCAACATGTCCAGCTAAAACATAGACACCCACTCCCAAAGTGCTACCAACACCAAGTGCTGTTAAGTCAAAGGTATTCAAAATCCTGGATAGTCTGGAGTCTTCTGCTGTTGCTGGATCAATAACTTTTTTTCTTGTCAAAATTTTCCATATTTTCAACATTTTCCTTTGTACCACTATATCAGAGCTATTCAGTGTGGGATGGATGATCTCTTATCTATTGAATGAATGTTCATTAGAATCAACACATATTGGATAGATAAAATATTCAATTATTTTAATCATATTGTTATTGGGGACAGAAACACATGCAGTTACAGATTCCAAAGGAATAAAAAAAATCAAAATAACCCTATCTGATCACAACTCACATTATCAACATGTATATTTTTATTCCACTTTGGATACATTTTTCAAGATAGTCTCATGATTTGCTCATGATTCCAAGATTTGTTCGTGTAATAAAGATAGTGATTTTTATTCTTATCACATTTTATCAGGAAAGACAATGAAATGAATTCAAATTCCACAATTCACGCCCCCTACCCAACACACAACAGAACTGATAAAATGCTGATTTGATGAAAATGAAAACATAAACATTTTAACATAAATAAATAATAATAACACTAAAATGTTATGTTACATTGATGATTTTGACTTCGATATCCTTGCTTGAAGGCCTCGAAGTCTTGCTTGAGATGAGATTTGGCTTTTGGCAATTTTAGCATAAAAAAATCCCCCTCCCCCACAAAAGGTTTGGATTTGGTCAGGGTAAGTCACTGTGGTTTGGTTTGGTGGTCAAGAACTTTGGTTTTGGCCGAGGTTTTGGCCAGGTATTGGCTGGGTTTTGGCAAGTCCGTTTTGTTTGGTCCAGTTATTGTCATTGTTTTCGTTTTGACATGGTTTTGACTTTTGACAGTGACAGTACTGAGCTGAAAAATGAAAATTGATGTGATCACAGCTTGCTTATTAATATGTACTGAATGCCGGGAGTACTGGGGAGATAAATGGGGAGCAACCGAGATATCTAAAGAGGTCTCAACTGGAGCTGAGTTTCTCAGGCTCAGAGACTCAGGGTTGAATATTCGTTAAAAAGTGTTGACTTTACTATCGTTATTCATTCCAACAAGCAATCACAATCAATTTTTGTTCACCAGATCCAGAGTAGGTACATGTTATAATTATTAGGACAACCATGGTTTCCATTCGAGGATTTCCATTGGCCTTGACCAGATCGAGTTCAGAGGTATGTTTACATGATTATTCATTAGATAGCACCACCATGGCAAATCCTAAAAACAGGATTTATGAGTTGACCTGTGGTTAATAATTCATTGAACTCAATGAAGATGAAAATGTTATTCTGTCGAAAGCAAAAGTTAATTCGAAACTTGATGAACAGATAAAAATCTACAAAAGGCACTAAGGGTCTATACCAGAGATAAGTTACCAGACCTTATCTCTGTCTATACTGTGCAAAAACCCTGTTGAATTTGCGATGAAATTGTGTGTACTGGTTGAACCTGTAATCCTGTTGATCCTTGTACATTGTTTTGATCTTTTGAAGGTACCCCACTGTCTCTACTCAAGGATTATACAACTACTCATTACTACTACTACTACTACTTCATTTCATTTCATTCTAGTTTCAAAGTTCGAAACTTTACCAATAGATGTCCGATGTGTGGTGTAGTGACAGATGTGTCATTGTGACGACTGTCAAAAAAAAATTATGCATTTCTTGGTTAATCAATTGTTATCTGATTGGAATGATTGGATATGAAAGATTAATCAATCTATAGAATGATTCATCAATATTTATGATAATACTTTACTTCTCAAAAATTCATCTGAAATATTATGAGATTTTGGCTGTCGTTTCTCATTTCTGTGGACCAGTACAGTGTTGCCATCATGACACTTTTTAATTTAATGAATCATCCATAAAACATTTTTACTCTATGATATCCATGCATGACCCAACTGATGAAGAAAAATAGTTGAATCCTTAAATCATAGCAGAAATAAATGAAAACATGAATTGGTTTAGCGACATCTATCGGTGCATAAATGGTCATATCGAACAGGGTTGCCGCTTTGAAACATTGTTGTTTTAGAATTTTCACATATAATTATTCAGTTTATGTGGTCTCATATACCTTGCTTATATCAAAATAAATGATTTGTAGATATTCCTTCACTTTTATTCTGCTAGATGAATCTCAGGATGGGAAAGAAGTAATGCAACGTTGCCAGATTTCATTTTTTATTTAGCATTGAGTTGTACAGTTGACGTCTGACATTTGACGTAATGTCAAATAAAGGAAAATGAAATTCCCTATAATTCTGAGAAAAAAATTCAATAGTACTTCCTGAACATCTGCATTATAGCCAGTAGCCACAGATGAACAAGTTATCATCTTTGGATTTTATATTATGTAGATAATAATTCGTCAAACAATTAAAATACTATAAAATTTATTTCTCAGAAATAATAGTTTCAGATATAAATACACTATGTACAACTCAAATATTGAAATATAATACACATCTCTCACAATATTAATAATATAACCAATCAAATGATTTTAAATGCTATTTTACAAATGTACGTCATTGAACTTTGATAAGTAAATAAAACAAGTCTCAAGACATTTACCGTAAAACTAATATCCATTCAATTTCATAGAATATAATATAAAAACAGAATATAACTGAATAAACTTGAAACTTATTCCAATTCTAAGCTGGCGTATTCCTCGGGAGACACCTGCGTTACCATAAGATTACCATCAGGAAGCATCACTACCACCTTGTGGGTTCCTCCTAAAACAAACAAAATAATGTCAATTTTCTTCATACAAAGCCACATAAAATTATAACACACTCATTGGTCCAATATGCGATCAAGGTAATAACTACCTAGTCAATCACAGACTTCAGTTCTCATTATTTTGCATTTCTCGAACTTGAGACTGGTGTGTAATCGCATATTATTCAGAAAATAAATATATTTTTAGAAATGAGAATCTCCATGTGCGCACTCAGGACATATCATATATCTTACTCACTCTTACTTATGTTTCCTAAAACCAAGACATATGGCTTAGGGTCATGAACCATACTTTGGGAGTCCTGCGCAATGAGCAGAAGCGTTTTCAGGCGAGCAAATTGAACGAGATTTTCGGGTTGCTGGGATTTTAGATACTCGTCTAGCTAGCAAAACAAACATTCTCATAGAAAAACCAACTATTGAAGTCAATACGCATAAAGATTCATGGATATTTGATATAACGAAAGCGACACAAGCGACGTTGCCATTATACCTACTTGTGTATGGCAATCATGCGACCAAGAGCATGTTTCGATATTCCCGAAAAGTTAGTACTCCCCAGTATATTTTATCGGAATTTACTGGCAACGTTTTCGCAGGTCATTACAAGGAACCCTGTTAGAGGCTAAAGGTTTGCTGTTGGCCACTGGTGCAGAAATGCTCTTGTAGTGCCAGTATTCATGAAATGTTAGGTTAAGCGTTTGAATGGTTAAGTATGAGTCGATGAAGATTATATATTATTTTCTAATACTCTGGGAGAATGTGACCCTGAAACTGCGCCACTAATCTAAAAGATGTTTTTTTATCCCCACTTTTGATATCGAATATTGCACAGCTTTGCTTCATTTCTTATTCACTGGAACTAGAGGTACTGGTACTAGAGCTTGGGGTTTCTGATGAATCACTATGTCTTCTAAGATAATATGATTAGTCACTCCATCAATAATTTCAACGTGAGTGAAGATAATAACAATGATGAAAATAAAAATCAATGAAACAAAACATCGAAAGATCGTAGGTTATATTTATGTTTTGTTGTCAGTGTACCAGTACTGCAAAAATCGTTCCGAAATGAACGACTGACATTGTTTATCAAAAGTTTTGAACCAATGTCATGAGCGAAATTAAAGCAGCAAGCTGGAGTATGTCAATCGACGAATATTTCCAGGAGAAATGGCATCACCAGTTGAATTCCTATCAATATTTCATGATCGAGACAATTAAAGAGCGCCTCCCGAGAGTTGCGCACACGGCATCCATCATTCTGGCTGCCAACAAAAATTGTATCGCTGAAAACGACATTGGTTGGTTCGTCACGTGTGGGTTAATTCGGCTTCTGTTTCGATAGAAAAAGTAGAGTAAATTTAAGTGAAGATTGGAATTGTCTCCTTAATACTCCCCTCGATGACATAAAACATTTTAGATTTGACGTCGATGCTGTCGCAATGCGCAAACTCATAATTGCACGTACCTTATCTGAGATGTGTAATTTTGTCATGCGCATGAATCGAAGAAACCATCGAACTGTTGTAAAATTCCGCTGGAATGTTGATGGAAATGCATCAAACTGTTGTAATAAAATGCGCACTTTCAAATCGCTTCGCGAGAAACCAGCGGTTTGGAGGAGACTGACATGACAATTGAAACATTGTAATAATTGTTCTTCGTTACTATTTGATAGGAAACAAAAAATATTGAGGATTTTCGAGATTTTTGAGAGATTTCAGAATATGTAGTTATAGCTAATCAATAAAGTCTATATAAAATACTATCAGCCTCTTCTGATTCTGAAGATACTTGACAGACCGACACACAACAAAATCCGTTTTTCTATCGTTCCAGCATAGCTTCTATCAGAAGCGCATCTAGCAGTGCGCATTTTTTTCGATGGAAAGAAAAGCACAGCCTTTGTTTTCGCGCATCCCTATGTATTGGCTTTCTAGGTGATTGTATAATTCTGTGGTTAGCCCTAATTATATGTCGCGTGTACATCTGACAGATGACCGACCCTGGAGGTAGAACAACCTTACTTTTCTTATTATTTGTTTACAAAGGATTGGAATAGTTTTTCACAATTATTTTTTGTCATACGAGTCGTGTTTCTTAAGCAATTTATCTATTCAAATGCACAAAAAATGCAGTGAGAAGAACACACACGACCATATATTTCGTCAGTATGTCAGACCAGTTTGATTGCACAATTCCAAGCTTTTTGCATAAGTAATTCTAAAGAGAAATTACAATGTTTCGAAAGTGAGAAAGATGTTATGGCATGCTTCGATGAAAAAGTAGCCAAAAAACCACGATTGGCATGTCAAAATAATTTGTGAAAAACTATTTCAATCCCTTGTTAACAAATAAGGAAAGTAAGGCTGTTTTACCTCCAGGGTCGGTCTTATACTGACATAATGATGACAAAAATAATGAATTATTGAATGCCGGTTGAAAAATGCATTTTACAGAAAATCAATATTCAATTTGTAGCTCATTAGTTGAAATAGTTGATTTCTCTTTAAATTAACAGATAATTATGCAACTGGTCCTAATACAATTGGATATTGCCGTAATATCACACATAAGGTTTGGGGAACACTGTGGTTACTAGGGATGGATAGGAAGAGAAGGTAGTTTTCTGTTCTTTTAAATTTTGAAATAAGGGTAGGTGTTTATGAAATAAAACACTCAGTTGTAAACTTGTCTGGTTTCATGACTAATGGTTAGATGAGCGTATATTTTTAATAAATGAACCCTCCTGCCATGTATGAGTCATCTTCAACATTCCAATGAAGTCAAAGCAATAAAGCCTAATCAATTACATACAGTATCATCCATAATAAAGTCCGTACTATGGGGAAAAAGTTCATTATTGGAGCATTGAAAATATTGTATCTCGGGCATCTTTTATGTGTATGTCCGATACGAATCGATTTTGACAATGGTATGGCGGTAAATTGAAAAAATGACTATGAAGTGGCAAAAAGAGGGTTTAAGCAAAATATCGACAAAATGTATTTGAAAAAAGCAGTTATTCCAGATAATTTTAAATAGCTTTTTTTCGATGTCATTATAATCACCCCTGAATAGATTGACAGCCTGATA